GCTCCAAAGAGCGATAGTTACACATCAGTTTTGAATCCATGGTTCCACGCTTTTCTGTCGCCTCAACGGACAACGGGCGGAGATTTTGACACAACATGATCATATTTGACGCCTCAACGGGCGAAGTGAATGTGTGGTACCGAAGTTGTTAGACGCTAAGCTGGTTTGCTCCGGTCGCACCTTTCCTCCCTTTTCTCCATAGACTTAGCACGCTAGAGTCGGCAGTTTACTCCGAATAGAAGAACTTTTGCCAGGCACATCACTTCTGCTGAACGCAGAGAGAAAATCTACCGCTATGAAGGAGGATTTAATCGATATCTTTGCACGTCCATTTATTCGCGAATCGACAGTAGAGCAGCCTCATTTATACGACCTCTCGTGTTCCTCGAGATTCATCACTAAAACGCTCTGGCTCGAGACCTTGATGAATACTTCCACAAGCAAAAATAATGACATGTAGAAAATAAAAAAAAGCAATTACTAAAAGCACACCTCGTTTATAATCTGCTTGCTCTCTGGATTACTCGAAATCTTTGATCTCTTCCACGTGCGTCGCATAAGGCTCACCAGCAACTAAGAATAACGTGACTAACTCTACCTTTATAATATATAGGCACTCCTGGAAAAGGGTACTTAATTAATGTCCTCTCCGCGAGTTTCTTCCTCTTCATAACTCCAGTGTCGCTACACTATTGAACCTCAGTTTAGCTACTGACGCATCTTTCTGTCGCAAACAGAGTTCCTCTGGGAGTGACCCCGCTCATGATGTCAGGTTCTTATTCCAAGTTGAAAATGTTGACAACATAAAACAGGAAAGCAAGTATTCTACGATTCAGTCTGTACAAACAAAAAAGTTTTTGATCAGTGACGAGTCAGGCAAGGCATCTATGAAAGGGGAAGAGACTTATAAAAATTAAAGGATCAGCCGAAGGGCACGACTAAAGATAGACAAGCCTGGTTTCAATTAATTAAAATTGAGGACACTGTGACCGACAATGTACTCACTGTCAGAAAAAGATACTGTTTTTGCAGCCAGAAATTTTGAAATCCAGTGAGCTGTTATCTGTATTCGTTAAGAATTGTTTATTGTTTTTTTATTGCTTTGTTATCATTTTGCCATATAAGTTAAATGTATACATAAAATTAGCAAAAAGATGAGGTAGGGTTGCCAATAAGGCTTATGAATAGAACCACTTTTAAAAATATATTTGACCCAATTTATAAATAAAATACCGACATCGGCAAGACAGTTTAACTAAGCATATACAATTTCTTTACAACGTAGAAAATAATCATTAAATAGGATAGAAATAAATAAGGCTGAACGTGCAATTTCAAAACGAATAATAGAAAGTAAGAAAAAATAATTCAAGTATATACGAGAGAAAAAAGCGAACAAAGCGAAAACTACACACAAGCGTTAATAGAAATAAACTGGTGTGGTTATACCACGAAAATAATGACTTAAGTTTAGAAGTCACCAGAGAAATACTAGAGGCATTCTGAATTTCAGAGCTAAGGGAATTAAATATTTTCGGCCCTTGAAAACAAAGTGAAAATTTCATTGCTTTCAGTCCTGCAGTAGGGTAAACGGAATGAGTTCTTACTTCTAGTGTTATATGAATATACGTCACAGTTAAGCAAAAACATGTCATTGAAACTGTCAGGAAGAAGGCCAGAAAGAAAAGGGTGAATAGGGAAAAACTGACTTAACTCCATTTTTTAGCTTACATAATGAATTGAGATCGAATCACGCACAATGAATTGTTTCACTTATTCTTAAGGAGTTGCCTGTGCAGAAAGGTTGTCGGAAAAAGCACACGCGACAATCCCGAAAGTTATTGTGGTTGGTTTTGAGTTCACCGTTCTTCAATGAAATTTGCAAGAATGGCACTAGAGGTCATGTGCTTATTTTTTCGATTGCTAATATAAAGGAAAGCAACAAAATTAAGTTCGACAGCTACAGTGTCAGGAACAGTGTATTGATCATATCCCATATTACCTTTTCGCGATTGTCACGTGCACATTTTTTCAACAACCTTTCTCGAAATAGCTGTATGCAGCAGTCTGTTCTAACCACAAAGTTTAAGATAAAAAGTTTTAACTCTTCTTGTTTTATGCACTAGGTGATCATCAGAATTGACCTTTTTCAGGTCGAGCTTTCTATTTTTAAGTTTGCTTTTTTGACAACTGTTATTTTTACAATCTAGTAATTTAGTTTTTTATTTGCTGTCAATATTACAGTGAAATTCGTTTTATCGCGATGTGCTGTTTGCAAATTTTGGGTTATTCTGTTCCGTCAATCATCTTAGCGGACCTCTTAGGAAAAACATGTTTACTTGCACGAGTTCAAATGGTCATGGTTTGTTATTCTTGATTGGTGGATTTCGATCCGTCTTGTTTGTTTCGTGTTTCAAGGCTCGTTGCTTTGTGATCGTCCTGTTTCGGGCAATATTCGACTAGCTAAGTTTGCTACTCAGATTTTCTGATCTTTCTTATTCTAGAGCGGTTTTCACTTGACTGTCGAAAGGGATTGGTTTTGGTTTTGGTTTTGGTTTTACTACGCCCTTTGGTTGGCTAGTGTATTTACTTTGGTTTTGGTTTTACGACAGTCAAGTGAAAACCGCTCTAATGTCACTTGCAAGAATAAAGCAACGTCCCGTTCCTTCCTTTGATAAAAAATCCTTTCACCATCGCGATTTCCTTCGCCATTCTTGAACAGCCGCTAGAGTCATTCTCAGCCAAGCTGGACGAGCACTTCACACTGTGCATTAACCCCGCCTTCACTAAAATAATTGAGGGAACAGAAAAATCCAGAATCCCATCCAAGTTTGCAAAACGAATAGCTCGATACAAAGAATTTCGCTACAAAATAACAACAATGGAATTCCTAGTTTCTTTCTTTTTCTTTGTAGGAGATAGTAATTCATCCATATGAGTCGTTTATTACCGAGTTTCAGTATTTGCACACCTGACGGCAGGGGCGGATCTAGGGGGAGGGTGCAGGGGGTACGCACCCCCCCCCCGGACCCCGGAGATGACCAGCGGTTTTCTAATACAACTGGTATTCTGCCCCCAAAAAACTATGTGGTTTATTGGTGTTGAAGTAGAGCAAGAGACAAGTGCACCCCCTCCTAAAAAAAATCCTGGATCCGCCCCTGTGACGCAACAACACGTCATCCTTTCTTCTTGTAGAGCCTCGTTCTCTTGTTACAGTAAAAAAAAAAACCTAAAAAAGGCATGCTAAGGACGCATAAATTAATCTTCTTTTTATTATAATTCTCCATAAGGTGGATGACACGTGCATGCATATATATAAGTCCTGACAGAGCGTACGAAACCATCAAGCAACAATGTAGCCTGCATAATACAGGTGAACACTGGATATCTTCAGGGTGGTAGAAACACGGAGCAAAAACGGTAAGAGAGAGAGACAGGTCGCGAAAAATTACATGACATGATACTAAACATCATGTTATCACCACGACATGAAACAAGAGGAAGTTTAAAACTGTTGTAAAGTTTCTCTGATTTTCTCAGACTGACATCGGAAAGGATAAACAAAAACATTAGGTGTTCATAATGAGAAATGGGTTTTCAATAGCTTTCTTAAATTAATACTTTCAATAGTTTTAGTATAAACCAATCCGTCTACAAATAGCGTTTATGTTCTGTTTAGTAGACACTAATTACAATGACAATTAAGTTAAACGGTACAATGTCTGATATGTATAATTAACATATTTTTCTCAGTGATATTAAGGTATAATTAATGATAGAATGAACTCATTCTAGAAAGTAATAATTATTTTGAATAGCAATTTCCAAGAGTTTGTCTAGTAAAAGAAAGATCCAGGGCATATGTTGTACTCGATTTCAGTTACTACCTGAGTAAGTTAGTGTGAACATTAATAACCATGGATCTTTCCCACATTACCTAACACACAATGAAATGACTATCGAGGCTTGGGTGCACAATTTTGTGCAAATCTATGTATCAGTTTTGTCACCCCAAGCCTCGAGTTGTTGTTTTAGTTCACGGAAATGTGGGAAAGGCTACCAGAGACGAAATTAGTGAGCTATTTTACAGCCGTATAGTGATAAAAATATTTTCAGACAAACACTATGAAGAAATTTAAAACTGCAGAGAAGCTTTGTGAGTAAAGAGAACACTTCCTAGTAATCATTTAGAAATATTCTCTGCTCAAAAAGATATTGTAAGGAATTAGCTTTTGTTTACCTCAAACTACAAGCCGTACGTGACCATTTTTCAATTTTCACATCTTGAAAACGCGGCTCCTTCTATCTATGAAATCGCACACGACCACATAAAGTAAATCATTACTATGGGGCTTTCTCCCAGTAGTAGCCTGCGTGCTAGGCGCAAAAAAGGGAGGGAGAGGGGGAGGGAGAAAAGCACCCCCCTCCCTTTTTCCCTTTTTCCCTATCCCCTTCCCCTTTCGACGCCTGCTACGCAGGCTATCCCAGTAGTTATACTAATACAACAAAGGGAGGATAAAACAATTGCAAAACTTCCGGAAGAGACAAAAGTCCTGTGACTTTTCATTTTCAATTTAAAGCAGTGCGTGACTTTTCGCTTTTCTGGGAATCCTCAACACACATCTACATTAAACTTCCGGTAATATTATAACAATAAGTACCAACTTCGCGGATCAATTGTTTAAATTTATCGTGCAATCATCCAAGCTGTAAAACCAAGTTGAACGGTTGACGTTCGAGATCAGGCATTTTTGTGCGAATGTCGTAGTCAGTAAAGAAGTGTTACCATAGAAAAGAAAGACGCACGAACGGAAACCGGCCTTACCAAGGAATTAATAGCCGGCAAGCTGTGCGACATCAAGCTCACTTTGAGTGGTCGTTAGGCACTGGAGCGAGGAAGATTTAGAGTTAGAGGAAGGAAAAAAAATACTAGGTCTTGACAGTAGAAACCTAGGCCTGTGCATTTTGCTTCTTGACAAACGGAACTCATCTCCACATCAATGGAATATCTGAGAATCATATGTTCAGAAGTTCGAGAAAGCTCCAATGCAGCGTTTTTGGAAGCAAAGGACCAAGACTGTAAATCGATGATTCCAGTGGACTTTATGGGGAACACTTACGAGCAGACAACAGGTAAAAGGCAGTCATTGACATCAAGCTAATGATGATTAAAAAATTTAAATAGCATTTTCTTTAAATTTGAATGGAATTAACTAGCCTAGTAGCATGTGCATTTCATAACCGTGAAAGCGGTTAACATTCTTGCAGTACTCGAGACTGCCTTAGGTATGTGAGTGACTAGCACCTACTGCACTGACCCGACTTCCTTCATTTTGTGGAATCCATTCATCGTTTTATTTTTACTAAAAGTTGAATGAAAGATCGCATGAATAACACAAAAACTGATAAGTGAATTTCAGCTACATCAAACTTTATAGTAAAAGTATAAGGCAACTGATCGGCTTTAAAGGAAAAATGACCGGGCGGAGAGCTGACCTCGATTCACAGCACGAATGGCCCTTGTTCATATGATTGAAAGTGACCGATAGAAGCAAGAGCAGTCATGCCTCGTTGGGAAAGATTCGCCTTTATCGCAGCCGACAGTTATTCTTGCATCTAAAGGATCCTAAAGCGGCAAAAAGCTCCAAAAACGACTGCGTGGGAGGCTACAGTTATTCCGGCATCCGGGCATGGATAATGTCAATAATGATTCAACAGACTTGTACTCGATCTCAAGCCGTTTCCATCGGTCACGTTTGTTCGTTTGTACAATAATTTTAGATGCGATTCGCACTGTGAAACCCCTCTGTGCCCTTATTCAACGCTGAATTAGGTCTTATGCTACTGGGAGCTGCCAAAATTCACTTTTCAATTTTAATTTTTGTCTCCTGTGAGAGGCATATATCGAAACTCGTCAAAACAGACACTGGTTTCTGTTGCATAATCAGGTTCTTAACATTATCTCCATTGAGTCCTTCTTGTATTTCAGAATTCTCTATTGGACAATGTGACCCAGGAAAAAACACCTTCTCGTGCTACATTGGGGACAAAAAATACTTCCTGTGTGCAGAGAATAACAAAGTATTTCTGATGGTAAGTAACAATCCGAGTTAAGTAAAATGGCAATTCCATAGTGATACTCATCAGATTTGGGGGTCACCTCATGCACTCAGACACATTCCCTTGATGTTATTGCGTAGAATAAACAACAAGCTTTAACCAGGTTCTTTGACGCACAAGAATTTATGACAGATCGAATAGCTTTCTTGTAAATCGTTATAACGATTAACAAAAAGCTGTTTCTCATCTATCCGACTTTCTTAAGGATCCTTTAGATCCATGTCTTTAGGTGATAGGGAATAGTATTTTAAGAGCATATGAGTAGTTCTAGCCATGCACCTCATCTTCTTCACCTTTTTTTTAATATTCCTATTTTTCTGTCTATCATAGGCTGAGAATATTCTTGAATTTTTTCGAATTATAAATAATAATTATAGTTAATGGCATTTCCGCTTTAGAAGGTATTGGGGTTTTAATTACCAATGTTCTTGCCGTTTTGTGAAAGGAAATAATTTTCTACGGTTAAGTTAAAAACGCAAATTTTACTTTATTGACAGATTTACAAACACAAATTGAGTCGTTGTTATTTTGAAACTCCCAGTCCCGAGTTTATCCTTAAAATATTCTTAAGGTTTCCCAAATTTCATTCTCAATATTCTTATAAAATACATTGTTATAGAAAAAAAAGAGGGTACTAGACTGCTGTGATAAGTCACACCCTTTTCGTATATTGTTTTACCTAGAATGCCCCCAGATATCAGCTCTTTTAATTAAATCTAAGATAGGGTTACAAGATCGATGGTGACAGGGAAACGAGTTCATGCGCTGAAAATGTGAAACCGATCATGAGCTGCGTTATTAGGTCTGATTAGTTTCTTAATCACTTGAGCGCTTAAATTATATATTGCGATGTCAACTGGATAAAGTAAAAACAGTTTTTCTTTTCTCTTTTTTTTATTGCACATAGTGTTCCGATGGCCGCGACCCTAACGATGTTAGGTTCTTGTTTAGAGTTGACAATGTTGACAGAAGAACGCAGAGTAGCAAGTATTTTACCATTCAGTCTGCAAAATCAGGAAAATTTCTGGTCAGTGATGAGTCAGGGAACGCATCTATGAAGGAGATAAAGGACCACACAGATGGACCGACTTCTGACAGACAAGCCTGGTTTCAATTTATTCACAAAGATGACATGGTGGCCGAGAAAAGTGTGCACGCGATCAGAGAAGATAAAATTTTTCCAGGCAGAATTTATGAAATCCAGCAAGCTGTTACTTGTACATTGACAAAGATGTGAATAGATCTGAATAAGATTCTAGAGAAAAATCTTGGAAATGAAATCGTACCAAGAACAGTATTTAAAAAAGAAAGCGATGCTCATATTATTTTGGATGTTTTTTTTTTTGACAGCCAGCCTGTTCCTTGTACTTTTACTCAGGCTGACAAATTATGTGAATAGAGCTGAATAAGATCCTGAAGTAAGCGACTGGCAATTGGCTGACCCACAAGGCAATGCCAGGAAGGATCCGTTACCGCCATCGAGAGGCTAGTAACATAGTACATAGCAATGCTCAAGACAATTATATTATGGTAAAAAGGTAAAATAAAAGAAATTTTGGTCTTGTGTGACCATGCAAAAATTTTCAAAAGGACTGGATAAAGTTTAGTAATCGTTTTAAACTTTAACTTCATGATCTAATAAGAACAGCTGTAAACTAAAAAACTTAGGTTCATGGTGATCAACATTTGGAGTTGTGGACAATTCGCTTGTACACAGCAGTGTTTAAGAGGCATGTTAAGACTTACCATTTTGGCTTGAAATCTAATATTAATCAAAAACCGTTCTGAAGGAGCGCTAAGTGAGAGGTTAATTGAAACTTCGGTAGACAAGCAGGTAGATCACTTGCTATTATCGTGACCATAATTATATAATCAAAGAAAAGTTTTAATTTCGTTGCAAAGTACGACGTATCTAGACGTTCTAACACTGAAAGAAAAAAGGCTAACAAGAATGAAACAGGTTTTCACAACTAGGAGGTGATGGGTGCCGGTTTTTAAATTACTATTAAGTGCGGAAAGCATTGTTTAATTTATCTTGTCACCCGTGACCAGTTTTACCATGACGCAAATCGCGGTTTTCAGATACTAATCCTGAGATTTGTAATTGGATTAAATCAAATTTTAAGAGAAGAACTCTTAATAGCCTTACTAGCATCTGACCATGACATGGTGGTTAGAAGTCTCACCGATATATAAAATGATGCAATGTGTTTTAAAATAGACGTGCAAGCCTTCTGAGAAGTATAGATCTTAGTGCAGGGGCATCAGGTTTATGGGATTTGTAGTACAAATTCACTTGCGCTGGCTACGTGACTCTAAATCTCTCTATTGTTGGTTCACTTTTTTTGGTGTAGGGACTGTTCAGTGACTTTTCAGTCGTTTGGTGATCGCGCAGCGGTTCGCAAAATGGAGGGAAGAGCGGCACGAATACATCGATTTAAACCATCATATATCTAGCCTCCCCGCAGACGTCCTTTGGGGTTCGTTTGTCACGCATTCATTTCTTCCCCACGTGACAAACGAACCCCAAAAGACGTCTGCGGGGAGGCTATCATATATCATCAAGAACCTAAATTTTTACTGAGCAAGTGCCACACGTACAGCACCCTACGCAGCCTGGGCAGCACCTAACGCTCATGCACAGATCTTTGCAGCAGTATAACGCTACGATTTAAGTTCATAGGTTTTGTATTTATACACTTTAGGCGGCTCCAAGATGTACTTTCCTCGAGGATTATATTGAGGTGATATACCCATATACCCATGCACAGCTTTCTAAACTCCGGTGGCCATTTTAACACTGAGTTCTCTGAGATTCGGTTGTTTAAGTAACGTCTTTGTCTCTAATGTCACAAAGTAAAGGGCTCGGGATCAAAATTAAAATTTTCCAGTTTGTTTTAACCTCTTAAGCCGTTTTTCCCAGGGTTCAAAGAAGCCTGGTAAAGCTGGTAGTTTTATTGCTTCAACAAAGGAAGAATCGAGGAATTGCAAAAATCCTGGGTGTTATGAAAGTCTGGCCTGCGTCGTAGACACTCTAAACCTTCTAATTGTTTAGACGAGGTGCGTGGGCCGGCTGCAACGCAGGCTATGAAAGTCCTGTGACTTCTCATTTTCTTTTTTAGTCTGAAAAGCTGCGCGTGACTTTTCAATATTCTTGGAATACCCAACTTACATTTCTGTTGTGTAACAACTGTTCAGTAGGAAGAATCAAGGAATTGCAAAAATCATGGCTGTTATGAAAGTCCTGTGACTTTTCATTTTCTTTTTTGGGCTGAAAAGCTGCGCGTGACTTTTCAATTTTCTTCGAGTACCCAACTAACATTTCTGTTTGATAACTTCCGGTAATAATAGAATATATACAGGTGTACCAACATCTATCATGGATCAGATACCTTATCTTGCCATCAGCTAAAGCATCCAAGCCAAGCTAGCAAGTTTTGCGTTCGAGATAAAGCGGCAAATGTCGTCCTCAGAAATAGAAATATTTAGTGAAAGGGAAGAGGTAAGAGGAATTGAACCCGATGTCATTCTTGTATTTGATGTGCATGCAACAGGTTCATCTTGAGTATTTATTAAATTGCATGTTGTTTGCACTTAATTGTCAGTACAAATGTTTAGTGGCCTTAAGTTAAGACGAGATTTATATTAAAAGAGTGAAGGAAAATTCACAAATAGCTATAGGGACTGATAGGTGTTTGGGTCCCTTAATCAATAAGATAGTACGTTTGTTTTGTGTTTCACAACAGACGGAGCTTATCAGGGTAAATGAGAGCAATGAAAGAAGAATATCGTCAGAAGTTCGAGAACCCTTCAGTGCATCATTTTTAGAAGCAAAGGAGGCACAAGGCGTTTTATTGCAGTCGCGTATTCCAGTGGACTTTAAAGGAAACACTCACAAGCCCTAAACAGGTATTCATATAAACTAACTTATAATTAAATTAATAGCATTTACTTACTGAAATAAAACCAGCATATGCGGTTAGCGGGGGTATCGGTACCAAAGCTCACGATTTCAGTGAAAAGTGCGGAACAGTCACTTGATTAACACAAGCATTCATAAGTGAATTTCAGTTACATGCAACTTAGCAACAGTATGATGCAAGCAACATAAGATGTGATGTGACTGATAAGTCCACTGTTAGCTCTTAGTCGGTAGAGCGGAAGGTCCCGGGGCTGAGCCAACTCTCAGGTTCCTAAAATAATTCACTGCGAAGAGGGAACCGCTAGACCTTATTTAACTTTACTGTTCAGTGACAGGGCTATTAGCGTGTAGACGCTACCTCGTTGCAGGTTAAGTTTATAAAACTCAACGCCTATCATGAACACTTATAGAATAACGTCTGATTCCATGTCAGCGCCAGACAACAGCAGTTACTACCTTCGATGATTGCGATGTTACGTTTATACAATTAACTGTGCCCTGTAGGGTGGGTATTTTAGTTTTGATCGTTTGCCTAAGCCGACCTCTCCTGTTGTAGTTCCTGTTGGTCTTTACACGCCTGAGAACTGAAGGATGATGATTCCATTTCTTGCTGACTCTCCAACTTCTTGTCTTCTCTTAGCGGAGGATTTTGGGAAATTTAGTAATCAAATAGAATTCTGCATATGACTTTTCATAATTCGTGGCAGCTTTCCTACATGCCTTCTTATAGCGGAGCTCCACGCGCGCAAAGCGCGCGAGCGGAGCCCTTTAGCTAAGTATATCTACCCATCCCAGAAAATTTGGTAATCACGTGACCGTTCACCGCCCGCCCGTCCGTCCGCACCACGGGGAAACCAATGTTCAATCTCACACTTTCTAGCTAGTTTGGGAGCACAGGAAAACTGATATAGCACACATATTGCACATCAATGTTGTGATTAATTGACAGCTATCAAAACAGGGTATAGTACCAACGGACCGTATCCCAGGCTCAGGTGTCGACCCATCGAGGTCGATTATTTTTTTAAAGTTATCCGCTGACAAGTTACTAGACATATTAACTTGTTCTGCAAGCAGAATACTGCAATGCTGATCGTACTACGTGAAAATTAACTCTGCAAGACATCAACACGTCACCGGAAGAACACAAAACAGAGCGGGATTGTAGCCATAGACAGCTGTTTCGCCCTCTTTGGGGCTCGTCAGTATGGCGTAACAATAGAGAAAACTCTGGTGAAAAATATCCGCGCACTCTGATTTAAGCCCTGACCTAGAACTCTCAACACCCACAGAATCACGTCATACCACGTGTCTTCAAGTTACAAGTTACAGGTTACTAGTTCTCAAATGATCGCAGGCTCAAGTTTAATTTTTTTAAATTCATATGAAATATGTTGTGTTTATGTGCGGCACAATTAAAATTTTGATTTCAAACTGACCTCGGATGCGAAAATTCAGCCAGCTATTGCAGGCAGGGAAGACAGTTGCTTTTGACTTTTCTCACCTATGGTCACCGGTTGGTCACGCTCTACATCCAATTTTTATGCTCTGATTGGTCAAAATTTGACAGTTGAGTTCATGCGGAAAATTAATGCAGCATCTTGAAACTTGTTTACTTTGACAGCTGAAGCTGACAGAGTTTTGTGTCAACTTACGCTGTTTTTAACTGTCCTTTTCTACTAGATGTACAAAATGAAATTCAGCTGCTATCAAGAGTCTTCTGTTATTCGTGGCTAGTTTGTTTATTGGGTTTTTGGTTGAGAAATAAATTAATCCCCACAGTAAAGTGGATGACACATTTATCTCTTAGCCCTGACAGAGCTTACGAAACCATTACTGAAGCAACAATGTATTATACGTAACACAGGTGAGCACTAGGCGGTGGAAACGCAGAGAAAAAAGTAAGAGAGAGACAGAATGGGAAAAATTACATTACAAGATAACAAGATTCGAACACACGTACATGTTATCACCACGACATGAAACAAAAGGAAGTTTAAGACTGTTGCAAATTGTCTCTGTTTAATTCTTTCAGACTGACGTCGGAAAGGATAAACACTGTCTAACAAATCAGGTGTTCGTGAGAATTGGGTGTTCAATAGCTTTCTTAAATTACAACTTTCAATAGTTTTAGCACAACCCAGTCCGTTTACGGATAATCAGTTGTGTGAGTTACGGGTTATAAAGTTTTATAAAATAACTAACTAAAGATAGTACGCGCGTTTTGATTGGTTAAAAACCTATGGTTTATTGTAGTTTTACTTTAAGGTATTTTATAAAAGCAATAGACCACACTTTCTATGGGTTTTCCCAGCGTGATAACCCGAACGCATGCAGTTAATACTATTGGGGCTTTTCCCCAGTAGTCATAGAAACACTCTAGTAAAACTATCAATTACTCAAATAACAAAGCGCGGATCAAACAATTGCAAAACTTCTGGATGCAATAAAAGTCCTGAGACTTTCATTTTCTTTTTAAAGCAGCGCGTGACTTAGCTTCTCGCTGTTCGGGGAATCCCCAACACACACTTACATTAAACTTCCGGTAATAATTATATAACAATATAGGTACCTTCACCATGGATCAACTGCTTCAAATTTATCATGCAATCATCCAAAGCTGCAAAGCCAAGTTAAACGTTTGACGTTCGAGAACAGGCATTTTTGTCTGAAGGTCGTGGTCAGTAAAAGAAGTGTTTCCATGGAAAATAAAGAAGCACGAACGGAAACTGGTCTTAATTGGCAAGGCTTAATAACCGACAGACATTGCATCCACTAATTTTACTTTGAATGATTGTTTGGTATTGGAGCAAGGAAGATTAATATTTAAATAGAATTAAGGAACGAAAAAAATACTAGGTCTTGACAGTAGAAACCTGAGTGTGTATTTTGCTACTTGACAAACGGAACTCGCCTCTACATCAATGGAATATCTGAGAATCATTTGTTGAAAAGTTGGAGAAAGCTCCAGTGCAGCGTTTTAGGGAAGCAAAGGACCAAGACTGTAAATTGATGATTCCAGTGGACTTTATGGGGAACACTTAACAAGCAGACAATAGGTGTTTCAATAATGCTAAAATGCAGTCATTAATATCAAGCTAAAATTTAAATAGCATTTTCTCATATTTGAATGAAATAGCATGTATGTTTCATAACACTGAGAGGTTTGGGATTCTCTACTGGAAACTGGCTTTGGTATGTGAGTTTAAGAGGGTTTACTAGGGCCTGGGGCCCGTTTCTCGAAAGTCCCGTTAACTTTACAGTCCCGAAATCAAATATTCAAATCGAAATAAAAAGAATAAGAGCGTGGGTCCCGCCTAGCAAACCACTGCATTTTGTTTCGTTAACTGATAGTTTTATCATTTTAGATCCAAAACTATTGAAACCTCGATCTTTAATGGAAACCAAGACAGCTTACCGGGCCCGTTAATTATCGGGACTTTCGAGAAACGGGCCCCTGACCCGAGATGTGGAATCTATTCAACACTCCATTTTACTCAGCACCTACTGCACTGACCCGACTTCCTTCATTTTGTGGAATCTATTCATCGCTTCTTTTTTACCTAAAAGTTGAATGAAAGATCACATGAATAACACAAAAACCGATAGGTAAATTTCAGTTACATCAAACTTTATAGTAAAAGAATGACGTAGCTGATCGGGTTCAAAGGAAGAATGACCGGGCGGAGAGCTGGCCTCGATTCTAGTTAAATTCAGACACAGCGAGTCGCCCTTGTTCATTGTAGAAACCGCCAGTTTGCCGTTGACCATGATTGAAATTGGCCGATGGAAGCAAGGTCAGTTTTGCCTTGCCGTTGGGAAAGATTCGCTTTAATTTATCGTTGGCGACCCCAAATATTTTTAAATCTAAAGGATCCTAAAGCGGGAAGAAGCTCCAAAAACGGCTGCTGGGGAGTCTATCTACAGTTATTCCGGCTACCGGACATGACTACTTGTAACTCGCCCCGTCTCAAGACGTTTCAATTAGTCATGTTTGTTCGAATGTACAACAATTTTGAGTGAGCTTCGCACTGTGAAACCCCTCTGTGACCTTATTCAGCATTGAATTAGGTCTTATGCTACTCAGAACTGCCAAAATTCACTTAATAAGTTTTCGAATATAATATTTGCCTTTTGTGAGACGAATACATCGAAACTCGTCAAAACAGACACTGGTTTCTGTTGCATAATCAGGTTCTTAAAATTATCTCCACTGAGTCCTTCTTGTATTTCAGAATTCTCTATTGGACAGTGTGACCCAGGAAAAAACACCTTCTCGTGCTACATTGGGGACAAAAAATACTTCCTGTGTGCAGAGAATAACGAAGTATTTCTGATGGTAAGTAACAATCCGGGTTAAGTTAAATGGCAAGTCCATAGTCAGATACTCATCAGATTTGGGGGTCACATCATGCACTCAGACACATTCACGTTAGTAGTCGACCCCCGTCGGTCAGGGTCGACCATTGATAGATCCGTCCAGGCTGTTTGCTCGACTGACATTACTAAAACGGTTATTGCGTAGAATAAAAAAAAAAAGATGTGGCCAGGTTGTGTGACGCACAAGAATTTATGACAGATCGCATTGTTTTTTTGAACACCTTAAATCTTTATAAGGGTTTGCAAAGAGCTGTTTCTCATTAAACAAGATGGAGAATCCCCGACAGGCGAGTTTGACTGGGCTGCTAAGGGGCGATTTTTTCCTAGTGGAAAGGGCGGTTGTACACACTCAGGCTACCAGAAAACCTTGTAGCCGACCATTGCGTGACATAGAATCTCATGTGGCAGTGCAACGTAAACTTTAAGAGCATGTGAGTAGTCTGAGTGGTTCTAACCATGTTTTTTTCTTTTTTTCTTTTTTTTACAAAGTCGTAAACATGTACAGTGTATAGTTCTTCTGCTGGTCATTGGTCAATATTTACAACAGTAGTTAAGTTACTATAGACTGCTGTGATGAACCACACCCTTTTAGTATAATGTCTTACCTAGAATGCCCCCAGATATCAGCCCTTTTCATTAAATCTAAGATAGGTCTACAAGATCGATGGTGACGAGAAAAAGATTTCATGCATATGAAAATTGGAAACTAGTGCTGCGAGTGGGTTTATTATTTTCTTAATCACATGTTGAGCCCACAAATTATATATTGCAATGCGATTGGATGAATGATGCCGAGTTGTAGCAAAAATTTTTAATTTCTTTTTTTTTTCATTGCATTGTTTTATTTTTTACAGTGTTCAGATGGCTGCGACCCTAATGATGATAAGTTCTTGTTCAAGGTTGACAATGTTGACACAAGAACGCTGAGTAGCAAGTATTTTACCATTCAGTCTGCAAAAACAGGAAAATTTCTGGTCAGTGATGAGTCAGGGGACGCATCTATGAAGGAGATAAAGGACCAAACAGGTGGAAAGATTTATGACAGACAAGCCTGGTTTCAATTTATTCCCGTAGATGATATGGTGACCAAGAAAAGTGTGCACACGATCAGAGAAGATATAGTCTTTCCTGGCAGAATTTATGAGATCCAGTAAACTAATAACTTAGCTTCATGGTGATCAACATTTTCTCTTGTCGTGGAGTTGTAGACTATTCTCCTTGAACATAACGGTGTTAAAAAAACATGTTAAGGCTTCACTCTTTTGGCTTCCAATCTAATGTTTATTGAAAACCGTTACACGGAGCGCTGAGTGAGAGGGGTAGAGTTAGAGGTTTTCTTTAAAACGTCACGTATAAGGTAGATCAGTTGCTATTATCGTGACAATAAATCAAAGGAAAGTTTCAGTTCGGTTGCAAAGACTCTAGTATGTTTAAACACGGAAAGAAGAAAGGTTATCAAAATAGGCGTTCACAAATAGGCGTTTATTTTTCATGGGAAAGACAAAGACATGGCTACAATGAAAATTTAGTCTTAAACTATTCTCCACTGTTAAGTTAAATAATATAACTCACCAAATTGGTGAGTTCATGCTTTTGCTGAAGTGTATTTATTCATTGGACAACACAGGGGTTAAGATGCAGATGTTAGATGCGTTTCTTCATTTCATTATCACATTGCTTCCATTCACCAGAGCAGGGTTTTTAAAACAAACCAACATCTTCCGAAGTTACACACAGGCTTCTCACAATTGACTTTTCATTGTCAGTTACTCTTGTCATAGCAATCAGGTTGCAACAAGCAAGTTAACTTGGTACAGCCACCTTCTCTTCCAGTTTCTGATGCCTAGTTCAAAACTTAATGAAACCCCTGCCAAAATAAGACAACATGTTTTCTACCTCTTTGATCCTAAATTTATTAGATTTAAGCCACTTGACAAAGCATTGAAAGTAGAATAACATTCTAAAGTACTCATGTGTACATGTTTAAGTGAGACAAATAGCAGTCCGATAATTATCATTTTTTATACCTTTTGACTTGTAATATTTTTATGTAAATCTAAATTACAGTTATAAATATCTTTCCTTGCTTTTTTAATTTGGCAATATAAGATCACTCGAAAGATTAAAAATTGAAAAACAAAACAATACAATGTAATGTACAGAAAGTACGTTATATAAATGTATTTCTAACTCTTACAAAAAAAAAAAAAATTCATGTACATTTGAAATAACCTCCAACCTCCAATTCAATTATAACAATATTATGTGTATTCCAAATAACCTTTTCCAAAATTTAATATTATTCTAGTCATATCAATATAGCTTTTTTTGTCTCTTATGCATATCAATAAATATAATTATAACAGCCACATAATAATGAATGTATCTGTATTGCAGCATCTATTATGTATTATAAATATGCAGTTGTTTCAATCAATTATTTTTACCCTATTACATGTACAATTATGTGAAGATAGAGATGTGATTTAATACACCCTTAAAAATGCGTCACTTTGTTTCATGTTTTAAAGCAGACATCACTGTACTTTAGCAGGGATGTTTTTGCACAATACAGTGGCCTGTATTAATAATTTTATCTCAAAATAATTTGCTGTTGTATTAAGTTTTTTTTAAACTTTTTTGTGTGAGTTCTAGACAACAAATTCATAAATCTTCAATTCTAAGCCAACAACAAAAAAATTTAAAAATACAGTTAAATAATTTTTCTTTTTTTAACTTTTTGGATCCATGTAAATCTATGTAACTAATTACTCATGCAAGTCATTTTTATAGTTCTGAAACTGTTTTGTAATGAAGTCTTCATTTTCAAGGCAAAACTCTAACCCCTCCTCACGTAAACGTGGTTTAGTGCAGAAAATTAAATCTGGACTAACTATGTCTGTGTCTTTTCTTTTCGGCCACTTGTACTTCCCATTCTTTGATTTACTTAAGTATGTAATGTCGACCATCTCCTCCTGGGAGTCCAGTATGAGCAATTCAATTGCAGTAATCTTGCCAATATAAAATTTCTTGTTATAATCAACTGCCACCCACTGACCTACACTTAAAATACCTCCATCATAGCCCTGCAAATCATCAGAGTCAGAAATTACATAATTTATATTGCGGTTATCTCTCTACCAATTCAATTAATAGATAGTGAAGAACTGTTCTCTCACCCCAGAGGAGACTAAAAATAATTTTGAACCATGAAGGAAAAGAAGCTACTTAGGTCACTACCTTGACAAGGGAGGAGGGGTTTTGAATACTTTTCGGTAAGACGCAATCTTCCTCTGCATTTGTTTCACCTGTAAAACATCAAATTTATAACCTCTATAAGTTATTACATAATAAATCATAAACTGTACACATTTGCCTTCTTAATACAAAATAGTTAACCCATTGTAAACTACCCGTAAAGAGCCTGCAAGCAAGCCTGGTAGAAGGCAACTGCAGCAGAAAGATAGCAAAATGAAAAGCAAAAAAAAATTGACAAAAACGAAAAGCCTAAAGGAGGGGGATGGTTCAACTTCCAAAAACTACCTTGAAGTAGCTGTGTCACGAAATTCAGCCAAATTAGGAAATTACAAAATTCCTGTTAAATTAAGAGAAACATAAAAATAACCGCTTAAAACTTTAAAGGAAGGTTAAAATAACATAACAGAAACAACAGATGCCACGGATGGGCAAAACTGAAGAAGACTGAAACCGTTTGAAATTTAGGTTTTTTGAAAACTGTTCAGTCTAACAGTTTTTCAAAGTTTATCCCTGCTGCTTGCAACATCAGAAATAATGATCAGGAGACATATTTGTTTGTCTCGGATCTCTTATTTTGTCATTTACCTGTAATTTCTTTGCTTACTTTAAATTCCATAACGATTGAGGGAGAATAATTGGCAAAATTAAACAAAATGAACTGAACTGCGTGACACAGCCCCTTTAAAATTTGATTTATGCACCTGTCCGAGCCAAAAAATTGTAAAATGGGATTCTAGTCAAGGCTGTGGCCGCACTCTACCTTAACTTACTTTTGAGCAGTTCAGTAATTATGAGGTTTCTAAGGATAAAGAGATAGAGAGTGGTAGGGATGAAGATGATTTCAACAGAGATGTTGGAGTCAAAACATGTACATTCCATCCATACTGATACAGACGATAATTGCATGATGTAAAGTGTGTATTTATTTGATTACCTTTTGACATGGTGACCAACGGCGTTTGACTCTAAAATACGCAGAAAATAACAAAGAAAATGTCAAAGCATGCATATATTAAGCCTTCGGCCTTGGTAATTTCAAACTTGAAAACAACACCTTGCATAATGCCTTTATTACAATTCTCCCTACACGCTTCTGCAGCGTTTCTATAATTCCACTGTTTACTTCCCCACAACACGCCCAGACCCCAGTACAATACTCTAAGGTCAGTGTAATAATTGATATGAAAATGGCATTAGCACTATGTGAAGTGATATAACGGCGCACACGTCCTAACAGACCGACCCGCCTACCAGCTTTAGAAACAACCAGCTGAGGTGTTCATCAAAGATGACACCCAGGTACTTAAACTCAGTATCACGCTTTATAGCAGACCCATTGACACTGACTGAAAACTGACCTACCTTAGCAAGCTTCTGAGATGTCCCAAAAAACATTGCCTCTGTCTTACCTACGTTGATATATAAACTATTTAATCGAAATCAACACTCAATGGCTTGAATCTCCTTGAAGGTAGCCTCGATAGTAGACACTTCAGGAGCTGAGAAAAATAGGAGAGTATCGTCGGCGTACATGAGGACACTGCACTCCACCACCACACTGGGGAGATCGTTAAGGTAAAGGATGAAGAACAGCGGCCCTAAAATGTATGCCTGTGGTACCCCAACAGAAATAGGCTTAGCAATGCTTGACACACCCTGAAATTCCACAACTTGGGTGCGGTTGTGTAGATAGTTTCTGAACCACTCATGTTCACGATGCATCACCCCAAACCCTCGCAATTTGCTCAGCAGCACTTCATGGTTGACGGTATCGAATGCTTTGCGCAGGTCAATGAAAACCGCACCAGTCAACTGGCCTTGGTCAATGTTCCTTCGGATTGTATCTGCGAAGCACATAGCGGCCACTCAGTGGAATGACCCTTTCGGAAACCGCATTGATAAGGGCTAAGAACTCGTGGCACTGAAGATTAGCGTATAATTGATGATGCACAGCTCGTTCTAGCACTTTAGAAACAACCGGCAAAACAGAAATAGGACGATAGTTGTCCACATTATCTGCTTTGCCTTTTTTGAACAAGGGGATGACACGTGCAGGTTTCCATTCTGAGGGGACTACCCCTGACTGCAAAGAGATGTTAATTATTACAGTCAGGGGTATGGCCACAATGTCCGCGGAATCAACCAATAGGCGGGCTGGAATGTTGTCAAGGCCAACCGCTTTACAAGGTTTTAATCCGCGCAGTTGAGATCTCACATAAGCTTCAGACACTTCAGCAAATTTGAAATCAGGGTAGTGGCGAGAAGGAGTGGGACTGGCACGAGAACCACTAGTTCAAGTCCAAACAGACTCCAACATTCGAATCACAGAAGACGTAAAATACTTGTTGAAGGAATCGGCAATCCGATTTTTATCTGAATTCAAAGTTCCTCTGATAGAAATGTTTGGAGATGCAGCCTTTCTTTTTCCAGATAAAACTTTTTTCATCGTTCTAGATCTCCAAAAAGCTTTGTGATCGTTCCCACTCTTATCAATAAGGCGCCTATTATTGGCGGCCTTTGCCTTCTTGTAGCGCTCGACACACGATTTCTATGGCAACGATAACTAGCCCAGTCCTCGGAATGATTAGTCTTTCTAGCTGTAGAATGAAAGTATTCCCGCTGACGCATGACTGATTTGATCTCTTTGTTCAGCCAAGGACAATTATCTATCCCTCTCACACGTCTTAGTATGATGGGTGCGTGACGATCAGCAAAGGAGACAAAAGCACTTTTGAAATCGTGCCACAGCTGATCCACAGTGGTCACAAACCCACTGGGAATAACGGTATTAAGACGCACAACTTTCATTCAGATCCTGGCAAAAATGAGCTGGGTTATAATTTGCATAATTCCTGAAAGTTTTATTTTGAGATGGCGCTCTCTGTCAGTTGAGCTT